ATAACAGAAAGTGAAAAGAAAAGCTTGCAAATTAACATTAACAAAACAGAGTGCATGGTTATTAGTAAAAGCAAAATCGCCCCAATCTGTTCCATAATCATTAATGGTAGACAAGTAAAACAAGTCAACAGCTTCAATTATCTCGGAAATCTGATTACTTCAGGTTGTAAATGTGATATAGATATCAAAAGAAGGATAGCTATGGCAAAAAATGCTTATTCTAAAATGAAAAACATCTTCACCAACAGTAAAATCAGAATATCAACAAAATTAAAACTGTTAGGGTGTTTCATTTTTTCTGTGCTAACTTACGGCTCTGATTCTTAGACAATTTCTAAAGAAATAAAAAAAAGATTACTGCTGCTGAGATGTGGCTTTTGAAAAAAATTATGAAAATTAGTTGGAGTAAGGATGTATTAAAACTGTGCGGTTTTAAAAAGAGGAAATTACTACAGATAATCTGACAAGGGCAGTTATAGTTTTTTGGTCACATCATGCGGAAAGAAAGAATGGAACTACTGGAAAGATTACAAAGAAAAGAGATCGCGGTCAACAACGAATAACATTTGTGAAGTTCTTATGTCACTTGTTGAATATCACCACATTTCAACCACTACAAAGTTTTAAAAATCAGGTTTTTGTGGAGGTCGATGGTCGCCAATGTCCTGAAAGGATAAGGTGCAGGAAAGAAGAAGAAGACATCTATCAAGAAACTACAGACTCCAAAATAAAACTGCTAGACTGATTTTCAACAAACTCCCTTGCTTTAGTTCTTTCATTCTCTTTCCAATGCTGCATTGGCTCCCTGTCTCTGCATGAATCATTTTTAAAATTTCAGTCCTAACTTTCAAAATACTATTATTAAAAATTTCCAACTTATCTACACACCTCATATCTTGCCATGATCATTCCGTGGGTCCTCGACAGGTTTCTTATGCATTCCTATCGCTAAATTTCACCTTGCTAGCTGTGGCTTTCGTCACGCAGCTTTGGGTATCTGGAATGCTTTCTGAGCTGAGACAATGTTCTTCGCTGAGTCTTTTTGAAAAAGGATTAAAAGTTCATCTTTTTAGCACATGCTCTGGGCGCCTATGAAGCAGCTGGGCAAATCAGCGCTGTAGAAATGTCAATAAATGTAATATTATTGTTATCAATCATTCGTCATTTGTTTAATTTTGTTTACTATTTATTATATCATTTATTTAGTTAGTTATTAATTGTTTTATTTATTTATTTTTTAAAATTACCCCTTAGTTACCTTTCAACTAAATATCTCAAAACTATGTTTTTTTTATAGATAACCCTTTTTACTTTTCTTATTATATTCTTCATTTTATAATAATGTCTTTCATTTTGGGCGACGTGACGGCCTAGTGATTAAGGTCGGCTGGCGTTGTTTCGCAGTGCGTGCAGTGACCGAATTATACGACAAAACATCCCCGCCAATCACATGCTTTGTGTGCGATGCGTCATTTAGCACGTATTCATATACGATGTTTGTGCCGTGTTGCTGATTCCTATTGAACATAGGAAAAGTGTAATAGACTTTTAACTTTTTTCAACAGATTTAGGGTTAGGGTTTGCCAGTTTCTGATTTTTTTTTAAAAAACAAAAAAGTTTTATTTTATTTAAGTCTAAATTTGAAACAAGCAAGATTTTGGCACACATCCTTAACCTTGAATCAAAGCTGACCTTGACGCAAGCCTGACCTTTGCACATATTTTAAAATTTAACTCAAAAATATGTGTAAACCTGACTTCAGCACAGGCCCAACCTTATCATACAAGCCTGACCTTAGAATTCAAGTCTAACCGCAGTACACATTTTTGATCTTGGCGCACAAGCATGACCTCGGCGCAAGCCTGGCTTTATTAGATTAACCTGACACAAGCCAGGTCTTGACACACATGTCAGTTTTTGGTAACGCAAATTTGGCGTCATCACTGACACGTCCTCATGTTTATTATTTAATCGTTTTGCACCATAAAATAGTCCTGCAAAATGTTATCTATTTGTCTTCCTCTAATTAGGTTCATTGTATATTTTTTTGTTGTCCTATTGTCACTCTTATTTTGTTATTTAAAGACTTGAGCGTTGTTATTTATGAACCAATCACTTTTTTAAAGTTGTTAAAATATTAAGCTTGAAAATTTGACAACGGTTTTTTAATTCAATTCAAATTATAGTCTAACAATAATAATTTTATGAATTTATAAAATATGTCAATGTTTATTTAAAAAACACGTCAAATCTTGCGCTATTATTAATGTATTTTAAAGATCTAATGTTGTATCATACTGTATTTTTTTAACAGTCTACACTGTTGAATAATTTGGCAAATATATAGCTCCTTTCTTTCTCGAAAGAAAATGGATGCGCCCAACAGTATCACTCTTGATGATTCCTCTTCATTTATTGCATGATCTTTTGTGACTGAACTGACTAATTCTTGAACTATATACTTTACCACAGATTGGATAATAATAGGATTTTTCTGAAGGATTGACAGATGGCGGTGCTTTTTTCTTTTGTGCCTTTTATTATTATTGTTATTATTAATTTACATCGCGTCCTATGCATAGCTTCAGGGACACTTGAATAAACATTGACTTTTGACGTTTCCTTAGGCCTAGATAAACAAAAGTTCTTTAATCGTTTCCTATAAAGTTTGATGGTTGGTTGTTGACGAATAATAGCAGGAAAAAACCATTCCATATGAAAAAAAAGCTGTACGTAAAACATTTGTTGACAACTGATGATTTAAAGAATGAATGTTGGATGCAGATTTTAGATTCTCCCACCAAAATACAATTTCGAGATTAATTTTGGACAACCGATTGTCCATTAACCCCTGGATAAGAGATATCTTTAGGAATTCTTCTAGGTGACATACGGTGTTTGTGTATTTTCTTGCGTTTTTGTGTGTGCTTCATCGTCGTGTTTATGTTGTAATTTGCATGGTAATCAGTCTGTATGAACTCTGCAATAACTGTGTGGTTGTGTTAGTATTGCTAAAAATAACTTCCCAACCAACCAATGCACATAATGCCTTAAAAACAGCGCGTGTGAAAACTATTTAATCTATGTTTTTGATACATATAAGTTGACCACCTCTCACTGCCATAGAGTAAAGTACTCAAAACACATGTGCTGTAGACAAGTATTTTGGTAGCTGTAGTAAGTTTAGTATTTTTCCAAACAAGATTTGAAACTTTTGCCATTATTCCTGAAGCTTTTGCAATTTGTCTTGAAAACTTAATGTCCAGATTGCTTGTAATTGTTAACCCAAAATACGTAAATTGGTTTATAACATTAAAAGTATGATTATCTATGTTGATTACCGGTAATTCGTTTCTACCTTGGGCAAGTATTTCGGTTTTGGTAAGACTTATGGTAAACCCAAATCCTCGACATGCATTTTCCAAGGCATCAATAAAATTTTGCAGTCCCTCCGATGAATGAGATACTAGGGCAGCAGCATCTGCAAACAGTAACTCCCTAACAAGTGTCTTTTTTTGTTTTAGTTTTAAGTCGAGCCAGATTAAATAATTCACCATCAGATCCTACTGTAGATGTATATTTCATCTTCCATGGCATTGAAAGCAGTTAGCAAAGACAACAGAAAAAAAGATACCAAAGGGTGTTGGCGCCAAAACGATGAAAACGATCCATAAACAGATCCATTGAATTTCTCAAAGCCCTCTCTGCGTCTTCTCATAGAGGGCTGTTATCTTTTCCAGCAGTTTAGAAGTTTTATTTTTTTCTAGTAAAGCAAATAAACCGCTTTTACTAAATATATCAAAAGCATAAGTACGATCAATGCAATAAAAAATGGCTTCCTTTGTTTTCTGCACTTTTTCTGGACTGTTGCAAAAAAAATATCATATCAACTGTGAAACTTTTCTCGCTTTAAAACCACACTGAGATTTCTGGTATATTCAATTTGCTAAAATTTGTAATCTTTTAAGAAGCACTCGAGCAAAGGTATTCATTTTCAACAGCACTTAGCAGGAGGATGTCTCGTTAATTGTTTCAGTCTGAACTATCTTTTTTGTTTTTGTAGATTGTATCTATATTTGCATTTTTCAAATCTTGTGGGATATCCGTTCCCAGCAAAAGCATATCAACATGTGAAGTGGTTTCAGTAAGGCATGTTTCCCAGTTTTAATAATTTCTACAGGAATGCCGTTTCCACTAGTTGCCTTCCCTTTTGCAAGTGCATCAATCGTCATACTAATTTTCGTTTTCGAAAGTATCTTATCCAGTTTAGTCATAGTTAGCAAATCTTGAACTTCTGACAACGCAGCTGCAACAACCCTTTTGTTTGATAGAGTTTTACATCTTTCTATTTGAGATACACAATCTTTAATTATTATACCATCTTTGGACATCAGTGAAACACATTTGCTAACAATTGATCCAAAAGCTTTCTTTATACCTTTATACAATCCCTTTGCATTACCAGAATCAGCACAGGATTGAATATTTTTACTGAAATTTTGCCAATATCTATTTGCACAATGTCTAGCAAATTGTGTTTAATTCCTTCATCTCTAAAAGCCCGTAGGTTGCTTTGTGTTGGTTTTTTTGTGAGCTATTAAAGCTATTATATATTTTTGTAATAATTTCTATTTCTGACAAGTTTGCTTCATATCGATCCTCATTTTCCTAGCCTTTTTTCCCATAACCGACAATGATACCTGATAGATAAGATCGCGCATAGATTGCCAACTTTCCTCAACATCAGTAAAATTTGTTGAAGCTTTTGAGAGTCTCATTTAATTTGTTGTTAAGAGCCATGCGCAGTTCATGATTATCTATACGTGGAGTATTCAAACGCAGTTTTCATTTTTTCAGAGAGGCATGAAATTTTTGAGGGCTCAGCTTTATTTTACAAGTAACCAGCGAACAATAAAACTAAGATAAATTATTGTGCAATGAAAAACAAATTAATGTAAATTAAAAAGTAGTTTATATATAAAGCATTCATTTTAAATTAGAGATTTCGCTTGCTGATTACACCATGGAGAGATACTCAATCAAGATTAGTTAACTACGACAATGGGCAAGGTTATTCAGAAGTTGTTCAAACTCATTCAGAAGGAAAAACCATCTAAACGATAACATTTTTAATAATCGTAATTTTTTGTTATTGTAATATTTATAAAACATGATTTCCTTTTTTTAAGATATCTTAAATTTTTTATCTTATTCATTCAAAAGGAAAAATCATTAAAAAGACTATATTTTTGTAATTTTTTATAATTGTAATATTTATAAACATGATTTCATTTATTTAAGATATCTTTAATTGACATTTTTTATCTTACATTTGTTAGAAATTTAAGATATCTTTAATTGACATTTTTTATCTTACAATTGTTATCAAAAACTTTGAACAGCATATATTAATAAAATCTGAAATAAATATAATAAATATTTCCAAGTTTTCAAAAGCATTATCAGTTTGCATAATGCGGCTGAGTGGAAGTACAAACATTTATTGTAATATTTTTTAAAAAGGTTTTATGCAGTGTTGTTGATGATGATATGTAATCTTCCTTGATATAAACGATGGCTTCAGTTGAGTGTCTTATATTTGAACAAGTGCTACAATTTGAGGACAAACATGGTTAACATAATTTTTTTTATGCAAGGGTTTTATGGCAGCTGTTTTGATGGTTTGAAGAACTGTCGGCAATTGATTATGAATTTTGATAAAAGTGATATCTAAACTAGACAATATTACTTCATAATTATAGTTTATAATCAGTGAGATTCAACATTATTAGTGAGATGAATGCGTAAACAGGATCGCTTTGAAGAAATAATAAAGAAAAACATTTTGTCGCACATAACAGTTTTTTCGTTTTAAAATGCTGAAACATACTTTATTCTTGACTTATTTTAAATAAAAATTGTAACATGAATGTGTTTTGCGCGTGTACACCAAGTTTTTGCACAATTTGTACGACTGTTTATTAAGCACGTTAATGAACTTAGGATGGTAAAATTACCGAATAAGATTGTCTAGTTTGAATATCACTTTTATCAAAATTCATAATCAACAGTCGACAAACCGTGCAAAACACAGTTACTCAAGCCATGAAAACAGCTGCCAAAAAACACTTGAATTCAAAATGCCAAATCTTTACCCTTCTTTCCGGCCAATAAAAATAATTGTTAACCGTTTTGTCAAATCACAACACCTGTTCAAATATAAGACACTTAACTCTAGCTATTGTTTATATCAAGAAAGATTACATACCACCATCATCAAAAACACTGCAATAAAACTTTACCACCGCCGACCTTTGAGCGAACCTAGTGGTTGTGGCTCGATTCACAGACATTTAGCATATATAAAGGCATCCCACAAATTAAATAGGAAAAAGTAAACACTTATCCATATCATCATAAGTTCATGTCCGAAAATTATATGCAACATTAGAAAAAGCGCGAACGGACCTATCATAAATTAAATATTCTTGCTGAGATGGGCCTGATCAACTGTTTAAATACGTGATTAGAATACTTAAAAACGGCGTGAAAGTATAAAATTTCGAAATTTTAAAATAGAGTGTATTTTGTTCTAGATTAGTTCGAACGGAATAAATTAATTTGAAATTAATCAAAATTAATAAAAATATTTATAATTAAATTAAGTTAGTTTTTTTATAATTTAATATTTTATTGATTATATTAAAATGATCATCACATTAAAATTGTGATCACTCTATTGGCATTCCTCAGAAGATTGAACTGTGATGTCCTTTGTTGGACAAAAACTTTTTAAACTCTCGTCTGAAATTATTTAATGCAACGATCTGCTTCAATGTTGTTAGAAGATCAATACATATTTGAAAATGAAAGTGCACTTTTATTCCACAAAAATGGAATTATTTTGTTGGGCATGAAGATAATTTAACGGTTAGGTTAAAAAATAATCTTTTGGGGCTTGCCGCTGACAGGGGCTGAAAATCTAGGTTGAAAACACATCTTCATTCGCAACCTTTTGAATCAGCATGTCAGAACATCAAAAGCTCGCAGACAGGGCAATAAAAACTCTTTTTCTATTTTCTCCCACTTATTTATGTGAAATCAGCTTTTCGGGAATGACTGATGAAAACCAAATACAAAAACTATTTGAATGTTTTTTCTGTACTCGGTCTGGCACTGTCTTCATTTTAGCCACGCTTTGAAGAATTAATAAAGAAGAAGATTTTGTCGAACATAAAAGTTTTTTCGTTTTAAAATGCTGAAACATACTTTATTCTTGACTTATTTTAAATAAAAATTGTAGCATGGATGTGTTTTGCGCGTGTACATCAAGTTCTTTCACAATTTGTCTGGTGGTGGTCCGCGTCATTCCTATTAAATTCAATACCGGTTCGCAAAACCAAAATGTTTGCAAAGCAGTGGTCTAGAATTTAATATTTGTTGACAATATTTGGTCAAATAAATTAACTACCAGCATTTCAAAGTGTTCGAGATAAAAAATTGTTTAAACCAGCGGTTTTTGACGACTGAGATCTTTCAATGGCGTTAGCAACTTATTGCAGCTGGTGTGTTGGCCAATTGGTAAGTATAAAGTTTCTGATTTTTTCAACTAAAAGTTGGTAACGCTGGTTCAGAGAAGGTGGAGAAAAGTTTGTAAAACAGTTAAGTGAGTTTTTTAATGGATTTCCAAATAAACTGGACATTAATTTGGTTTGCAGTCTAAAATTTTTGTTGTCATCCCTAAACATTTGACTTTAATGCATCGCTGCCTTCCAGTAAAGATAGTGAAGAGGTTGCCTCGTTTCTTTGGATAGTCTAGGTTTGGCGTTCAACCTGATTAAATGTTTTGGTAATTGTGTTTTTAACTGTGGATTACTTAGTTATAAAAATGATTTTGGCTAAAAAAATATTCAATCAATTAATCAATAATCCTCCTTTGTCCATCGGGGGACCGTTGAGGCCGATGGTGTACATCTAAGCAAGCTTTTTACATTTATTTTTTCCTTTTTTCCTTTCCAAAAACCTTTTCTATTTTTGGCCAGTTTTATTAAATTCAGAATAACAAAACCAGTCCATTCAGTAATGTCATCTATCCATTTTGTGCAGGTCTACTAACTTTTTTCTTCCAATCGCTTTACCTCATTAGTACCATCTTAATCAATCTGTTTTCTCTCATTTTACAAATGTGTCCAAAAAATCCCAATTTTCTTTTTCTGACTTTGTCATATACACTTTTCTGTCTTCCAAGTTGATTTCTGATGGTTTCGTTCTTTAATTTCTGCTTCCAACTGATTCCCAACAAATTTCTGTAACACCTCATCTCAAATGCTTCCAATCTGTCTTTGCCTCTTTTCTTTATTGTCCATGTCTCACATGCATAGAGCAAGTTTGGAAAAACGCATGATTCTATCATTCTCAACTTTGTTTTTATAGATATATTTCCACTTTTTTATATTTCCTTCAAACATTCCATTGGCTATTGCTATCCTTCCATCAATTTCTTTGGTGCGGTTGTTGTCACAGGTTATAAGATATACACAATATATACACAAACCGGTCTACTTGTTTGAGTTTTTCTGATTCTACCTGAAATTTCGCATTGTTTCTGCCTTTCGCCGTAATCATCACCTTTGTTTTGTCTTTGTTGATATGTAACCCATGATCTTTTCTAGCAACATGTGTTAGTTCAATTATTTTCTGTAGACCTTCTTCACTAGAAGCTAGAAGGTCTATATCGTCTGCAAACTTGAGATCTTTGACAGTTCTCCTTCTTATGCCAATTCCACCCAATTTCGAATTTTCCATTTTTTCCATTGCTCTGTCTAGCAATGCTATGAATAGCATTGGTAATTTTGGATCGCCCTGTCTGCTTCCAATGTCTGCCTTTATTTAATCCCCAAGTTCTGTACCTTTTATTACCGACATTTTTGATTCTTCATAAAACCTTTTCAGTACTTTGATCAGCTTTTCTGATGTTCCCATACTTTCTAATGTTGTTCCCAAACCTTCATGCCAGACAGAATCAAACGTTTTCTTAAAATCAACAAAGAAATAGTAAATTGTCTGACCTCTACTTTTTGCATCGTCCATCAGCAGTCTCAACATCAAAATTTGTTGGATCGTGCTTCTGTCTTTTCTGAAGCCTGCTTGTTCTTCATGCAGATGTTGCTCTATGACCTTTTCCAGTCGTTCTTTTATAATAGTCAGTATGATCTGGCATATGTGCAAAATTAATGAAATCGATCTGTAATTATTACAGTCTTTTTGGTCTCCCTTTTTCGGCAGCATAACCAGAACTGACTTGCACCATTCTTCTGGCCACTTTCTACTTTCCCAAATTTCTTGACAGATTGTGTAAATTTCTTTACACACGACTGCTCTTAGCAGTTCTATCAGAATACCATCTTTCCCAGTATTGTTCTTCATTTTACTCATTGCTCTTGTAATTTTTTCCCTCGTTATTTCACTTTTTTCTTCATTGATTATTTTTCTGCTTTTCAAAATTTCAAGCGTTTCTTTTTTGTATGTGTTCTTGTCTGTGAATAAGTCTTTAATATATTCAGTCTATCTATCCTTAATCTTTTTACTTTCTGTTAGGATGTTTCAGTTTTTATCTTTAATAATCTTTGACATATTTTTCCGTTTTTCTTTTAATTGTTTAACCAGCTGGTACGCCTCTCTTGTCTTGTTTTGCCCAATCATCGTCTTTACCTTTTCACATTTACCATTAATCCTTTTATCTGCTCTATCACTCTTTTTTATTTTTTGGCAGACTTCTTTGTATTTCATTTTATTTTCTTCACTCTGTCTTTTTGTCATTTTCAATCTTCTTTTTTCTTCTACAAGGTTCCATGTTTCATCGCTTATCCAAAGTTTTATTTTGTTCGTTTTGATTTTACAACTTTTACCTATTGCTTTGAAAATTTTTTCTAGGTTGCTAACTTTTGTGTTCATATCGTAATTGGCTGCTGAGTCCAATTCATGTTCGATTTTATTGTTTATATCTTCCATCTTCTGCTTAATCATTTCGTTGTTGTGTCTCACGTTCCTAATGCTTTTTCCCATTTCAAGCTTTTGTTTTATCTCCATGGTGACGTTGCATAAGACAAGGCGATGATCTGATCCAATTTATGCACTTGGGAAAGCTCTACATTGGGTGACAAATTTCATCCATTTCTGTTCTATCAGTATTAAATCTATCATGTTCATTGTTTTTTCGTCTGGTGACTCCCAAGTACATTTGTTGTTGTTTTGCCTCTTTGTGTTTGTGGCATACAACCGTCGGTTCTTCACAAACTCTAATAACCTTTCCCCTCTATCATTTCTACCTCCTTATTTCTACCGTATTTTCCCATTACTTCTTCAAATCCAATGTTGTTACTTCTAATTTTAGCATTTCAGTCCCCAACAATAATTTTGACATCTTTCTTTGTTAATATTTTCAATGTTTGTTCCAGTTGTTTGTAGAACGTTTCAACTTCATCATCCGAATGATTTGTTGTTGGAGCATAAGCAACTATCACAAAAATATCTCTTGCATATCCTTTGAATCTGGCATACATCAACCTGTCATTTACTACATTGTATTCAATTAATGCTCTTCTTGCTTTCACTCCAAGAATCATTCCCACTCCATGAATATGCTCGGTTTCTGTGCCCGACCATAACAGTTTTCCTTTCTCCAATTCTCCACTTCCTGTCCATCTAACTTCACACAAACCAACCACATCATATCTAAATCTCTCAAGCTCTTTTTTCAGCATCGCATATGTTCCAGCTTGCCACATTGACCTCACATTCCAAATTCCAACTGTGAATTTCATCTTCATTTTACCTCTTTGGAACTCTTTGAAAAAATGACTCTTTGAAAAAATGTTCAGCTTCCGCTATTTATTTCATTTAGCCATTTTTAGCAAAAATTGTAATTGTAATTTTGTGTTTTGATAGTTCTGTATTTGACAAAAAAGCATTGTTGATCATTTGATTTTCTGCCTCTGTGTTGTTTCTGTTTTAGTTGTATAACTTACCCAGATATACGAAGTGGCCTCTAACGTCAACTTGAGGAATATGTTGGTCTTAAATAGACAGCACCGTTTTGTTTTTTCATGACAAACGAGAAATATTTGTCAATTCTTAAACTTATTCCAGTAACTTTGCACCAAGCCTGGTTTAGATCGATTAATTTTTGAGCACTTTCTGTGTCGTCTGAAAATTGTAACCATGTTGTTTTCAAATTAGCTGTAAAACTCCATATGTATCCACATTGTTGGAATTCAGTTTTTTTAATTACTCTAATTAGGAAATTGAAGCAAAGGTTGAAGAGAAATAGAGAACCGGGATTTCCTTGAAGCACGATTGACTAGGATGGACTGTGTTAGTTAGTCACCTCCAAAAACTGTTATTTAATAGTCAGTGTATATTTATTTAGTTAGGCTGTTTATGTGGGATGGAATATGATGGTAGTCTAGATTTGATGAAATGAAATTGTGACTGACTTAGTGAATCATTTGTGAGTGATTTGCCAAATGCGCTACGGAAGTCGCGAAGGGAAACAATTATTTTTTATGATGTTTCCTCGCATCGTTGAGAAGGTGAGCTAGAAGTTGATTGTTTCCTGTAGGTCAACCAATTTTAGAGAGGAACCCTTTCTGAACATTTGTATCGACTAATGCGTTTTTTCAAAGAAGTTGTAGATTTTGTTGTTGATGAATGAAACAAATATTTTGTACAGTGTTGGTTGCAAAGTTATGAGCCTTAAATTTAATGGAGCGTGAACGTCGCTTTTTTATAGATGAGAATTGTAAAGCCCTTTCTCAAACAAGTTGGGATTTTGCAAGCTACCTAACATTTAACTAACAGTTTGTGAAAAATTGTACGTAGTATTGGATATTTTTTGAATGGAATTACTAAAATTTGACCAAATGAGATAGAAATGATTTTGATTTATATTTGCGAATTATAGTGATATGAAAAATGGTTAGCGTTGCAGAATGATGAAAGTTGTTGTAATTTTGAAACCCAGTTAGGTAGCTGATGATTTTGTTGGTGCCGATTGTTGAGAACCAAAAGAAAAACTTCGTGCAATCGGTGACCTTGAATGTTGGTTTCAGATTTGTTGTTTGGTCGAATATTTTTTACGTGAACACCAAAATCGTTGTTTGAGTCAAAACGTGATGTCGTCCGATCGTTGCATACATTTTGATAATTGCTTTAATGCTATTTTTGATCTTAGCGCTTTGCTTGTTTCGCTGATTATGAGCAAAACGCTGGGCAAAGCGCTGGTTGTTCTGGCCCAATAACTTCAGTTGCCTCAGTTTTTTAAGTTGTTTGATTGAACTATTAAAGCAAGAGTTACTAACTGATTGAGTTTTAATTGTGCCATAATTTGAAAAAAGTGTTTGTAGATGACTTATTGAAAAGCATGAATGATAATATGTTAACAGAGATTCAGTCCATCAAATGACCTTTTGCAACTCAGCGTTAATGGCTGAGAAGCAGGGGCGTTGGAATCGCCACAAATGATAAATCTTGATAAATGATAAATAATTATTTGGTAAAGTAATTTGATTTAATGAGTTATGAAAATAATGAAACCGGACCTGGTGGTCTATAGATGACGATGATGTAGACCAACTGTTGAGTAAATGTAGTTTGCCAGCAAGTTTCTCGAAGTAAGTAAATGAATATAAAGTGGTTTTAAAGCACCTAATGTAATCTTGATGATTGAGTGCAATACCTTCACCCTTTTGTAATGACGTGTGTCTCTGTTTTGATGGACAATCAGGAAACCTGAGGGAACAATGTCGCGTTTGGTGACACGTCAAGATCAACTGATGTTATTCAGGTCTAACCGAGATCGCCAATGAATTTGGGTCGTTATATTTTCAACCTGAAAAATTTGTTCCGGACACGTCTAACGCTGTAAAACTTGCTGGGCGAACAGAAAATGAACAACTGTGAAACATTGTATACACTACGTCTGTTCAAGTTGGCGCCCAATCGAGGAACAAAGACGAGGAAAAAATCGATAAATTTGAGTTAAATAAAAGATCGAAACTATTAAAATTGGCTGTTATTAAAATCGGCTGTTATTAAAAGTATTCACACTGTTATTAAAGTTATTACAAACTGTTAAATACTATTACAACTGTTATTAAAACTATTAATAAAACTGTTATTAAGACTGATTAAAAACTATTGAAAACTGTTATTGAAACTGTAAAGCTATTAAACTGTTATTAAAACCTTTTTGCTTGTTAAAATACTTGTTTTTATTGAAAATTATTAAAAACTATTACAAATATTGTGCCGTTTGGTTGAATTAATTAAATTTATTATGTTAAAAAAATATACGCCATGTTACAATATGGGTGGGATTGGTAAATAAAAAACTGCTATTTACATGTAAATTGGAACAGTTATTTTGTATTATATTTTTCATAATTTTATTTATACTAAAAAATATAAACAATAATCGTCATAATAAAATTTTTAATTTTTAAAACTAAATTTTTGCATAGAAAAAAACTGTTTTATATAGAAAATTAACTAAAAATTGACGTGATGAGCAAAAAAAGGAAAAGGTTGTCAGCCTCATTTTAGCTAAACACCACAAATCTTGGCCTTCCCCCGTCAAAATTACTTCAACATTTTCAAAATTTTGCCTCCTCGCCAAAGTTGTCCAACATTGTATTTAAAAATTTATTTGTAGGCTACGTTCCGCAAAAAAAGGTTTACAGTTACACTAGCGAGATAAAACGGAAAATTTATTATCATAACACAATAACAAAATTAATTTTATAATGAAATTAAAACAAAAGCGAATGTACAATAATAAAAGATTGCGTAAATAACAGAAAATAATTAATCATTACGGTTAATTGTGTAACCAGCTATTAGTGATATAATTGTTGATGGATTGAAGGTGCCTAAAGATGAATATTTTTGTAGTGATAGTGATGAATAAGTGACTGTTGGTAATAAAAGGTGAATGACATGATTAGTGTTCGATTTTATTTTTTGAATAGGCGTAGGTCATGGTCAAGCTAAAAAGTATGCTATGTTTGGGTAAGAGGATGGCAAAGATTGCAGGCAGGGTTAGTTTGTTGACGATTGTAGTCGTTGTAGCTGTAGTCTTTGTGTCAAAAGTAAACAAGATATGTAAGCAGGTCTGCGTTTATCAGAGTTGCTTTATTAATAAAAACATGTATGCCCGATTCTTTGTATTCATATTTTTGAAAACATTTATTTTACTACGTTTGCAGATTTTTGTTGATTTAATGTTTACAATTTTTTTAATACTTCCATATGGTAATGACTATATATACAGAGTAATAAAAATGTAATTGTTTTTATTTATTTATTTAGTTCACTCACAAGCAGTTTTCAAAGGGTCATTCATGCTAGTACGAAAAATAGTTTAAACAGTATACACATTACACAGTACACATTAACTAAACATAAAAATGTAAACAGTATACACATTACACAGTACACATAAACTAAACATAAAAATACTTAATAAATTACTACAAAAAAAAGATAACAATCAACAAATTATCTAGATTTAACAATACAATACATAAAAATAAAAAAAAACAGATGACATAGCAACAATCAACAAATCATCTAAACTAAACAATACAATATCTAAAAATTAAAAAAAAAACAGATGACATAGCAGGAAAGTAAAAACTTAAAACAATGATCAGAAGCAACTCAGTAGAACGAATCAAGGAAAAGCTTGCTAAAAATGGTAAAGTTTAAAACAACGACAAAAATTAGTTAAAAACTTTAAAGAAAGTAGGTTAAAAGACAAAAAATATGACGTAACAGGGGAAAAGACGTCTGGTCCTCGTTTCTAACAATAATCCATCAGTGTACCAACTAGTCGTAGAACTACATCACGGGTCAAATACTTCTTAATTAATTTTAATTCATAAGATGAAAAACAGACAAGTTTTAGAGCACTAGAAGACTTAAAAAAAATTCATTGTCAAAAATAATCAGGCTCCTGACAGCTTAAGAGATTTTTATAAAATAATCTACTGCATTAATCTCCCATAAATTAATCTTAAACAGTGATGCCCTAGGGCTAAGCCACGACAACTCAAAATATTAGGATCAAAAAGCAGACGACTACATTTTAGCCAAGAGTTTATACGTATAGTACAACCAAAACTTTTTAAAAAATAGCATAATTTTTAGACAAAACACATTAGATTTAAATATCGTTAGAATAGGGCTGAATCAAACTATCTAACAATTCAGCAAAAGACACCAAATCAAAAACATACACTAAAAACAAAAGGATGTCAGAGCATAGAAGCCTGTGGGACACCACACAAACTGAAAAAATCAAAAGACATTACATTTCTATAACTATGGATAGATCTTTAAATGCAGTATACTGTATATACATGAAGCTTAACAAATTAAAATAATCTTATCAATTTAATAACAGAAAAAATATAAAATATTTTAAAAGAAAGTAAAATTGCTTTTTAGATTGTTAAAATTCAGTTGACGTTAAAATGATGTATTTACATTTAAAAATTTAAAAACTAGGTAAACAACATTTGAAACCAAATAAATAAATAATCCTTTTAAACAGTTAAATTATGCTGATATTGATAGTTTCGTCATTCTGCCTTAAATTCGGTCTATGTAAGTTGTTGTTATATTTAGCTAGCAAAAATTTTATTTACATTTTAAATGTTCAATCAAATCAGTCAGTCAGTCACAGTCAGTCAGTCACAGTCAGTCAGCCGTCGGTCAGTCAGTCAGTCAAATAAAATAATTTATAAATCGCCATTTCTTTAATGTTTAA